AAAAAAAAAAAAAAAAAAGTAATTGGAGTAATTTTTGTTCCTTTTTCAAACTCCTTTAAAAAAATCTGAAACAAATAACCAGTTAGTGAAAATACTGAGAAATGAATGGAAAAATTACGGAAATATTACTACTGGGATGTCATAGTGTGAATTTGGGGTAGAGAAGTAGATAAGATTTACTTAAAACTTTAGTTTTAACCACAAAAACAAATACAGTAGCTAGTATAGAAATGCTTAAGCTTGGCATCAAGTCTGTTTAAAGCTGCTTATTAGCCTTAAAGCATTGACTTGCTGTTTTAACTGATTTATGCCTAAGATTGAAACTTTTGTGAATTTTTGCATGAAATTGATGTAACATTATCTAGAAAAAGTCAAGGAAAAAATCTGAAGAGAACATACTTCATTATGTTCCATTGTTACGGGTGTTCAAAAATAGATTGCTAGGCATTGAAGAGTTAAATTTGAAACTTTAGATAGAATTTGAACCATGGACTTTTGATCTGGTAGGGCCAAGTAGATAAAATTTCTAAATAGTTGATTTTCCTTTATAATCCCTCCACCTACTTCATAAGTATGCTAGCAATGTGCACGTGCATGCACACACCTGTTTTGTCAGTTTCTGGAGAGAGGACATTCTGCAGCTGTGTTCTAACTTAGGATCATATTTTTTGATTGGCTTATTTATCCCATAGGACACTGTGCTAAATAGTACTGAAGATTGTCCTCTATATTCCTTCTCTCCATGATCTTAAGAATTTTCAAAATTTAAAATAGTTCCTCACAAAATAAATTGAAGACTTTTTCAGGAGGCTTTGTTTTTAAGAAAGCATTATTTTAGATGATGCAGATTAAAAGAGTGATCTTTTTTATACTCCCTAATTTAGCATTACAAAATTCATAGCCAGTTATGAAATATGAAGAAAGCTCTTACAATTTTACTTTATGTATAAGACTTATCACAGAAACTATTTCATACAAAGACATTAATGGTTATTGATTGGCCTTAGACTGTAATACTCCATGGATGAAAATTCTTAAAATAGGAATTCAAGAGATATCAAAGCATTTTAAAGAAAATGTGAGTCCTTTTTTTGTTTTTTTTTTTTTTAAGATAGGATCTTACTATGTAGTTTAGGCTGGCCTTGAACTCATGGTTATACTCTTGTCTCAATCTTCTGAGTTCTGGGATTACAGGTGAGCCACCACCATGTCTTGCTAAATGTCGATACCTTTTGATTTTGTAGGTCATATGTGGAATTTGGTTGAGGCTGTTTTAAGAATACTCCCTATAAAAGTCACTCTAATGCTGACTCAGTTTGAAACTTACTGTCCTGTTACTAAAAAGAACAAGGGTATATTCTGATGAAAGATGAATTTGAGTTCGCTTACTAACATTTATTAAGGAAATTGCAATAACTGAAGAGGAATTTTAGAGAAGGTAAATAGTATGTATGAAGGTTCTGTGGTTAATTGATAAAGAGTCTAGTAGATTAAAAAAAACAGGTTTTCTATGCTGGTGTTAAGTGCTATTTTTTTCCCTAAATTTTCTCCTAATAAAGTTTCAAGAAGTATCTTTGGTCTACTTTAGTTCTTACACTCCAAAAAAGCTGATTTATATTTTCTTTTGTGTGGCATTTGTGCTGTACAGTTCTTTAAACTTTTTAGCTTTTTTGCTCAGTGTTGAAAAAGCGAGCATACTTACCAGCTTCTCTAGGCCTTCCTAAATGTCTTATGATCTCCACAGGTGATCTTGTATTCATCTAAAAGTTTTGAGCTTTCAACTACAACAGTGGTTCTAGTCTGGATACTCCGGACATCTAGAAGTCCTAAAAGATTTTTCTTTCTGTATCTGAAGTAATTAGCACTGATCCTTGTACATGGTCGTTTCCTTTAAATTACAGTAGGGTAATGAAGTTTTAAAGATATTGTCACAATTTCTAAAAGCTTAAATTATTTACCTTAAGTCAGTTACTTTTGGCTTAAACTAACAGAGTTAAGGAAGGAAGCAAATTCGGGGTATCTAAATCTTTCTAACTTCAGATTATAGGCACTTTGAATATTACTTCTAGTTTAAAATATTGTACCTAGGCATATACTTGTAATCCCAAAGCTTGGGAAGCTAAGGTAAGAGGAATGAGAGTTTAAGGCCAGCTTGATCTATATAGGGAGACCCTGCCTCAAAAAATACTTGAAGTTTCTTTTTCCTTTTTTTTTCAGTACTGGGCATTGAATGTAGGGCCTCATCCATGCTAAGCAGGTACTCTACTACTGAGCTACATCTTCAGGACTTTTTTAATTTTTGAGATAGTCTCATTAAGTTACCCAGAATGGCTTCCAACTAGCCATCCTCTTGCTTCAACTTGAGACATAGGTAAGTATGCTACCACATTGGGTGTGAAAGTCTGTAAACTAGGACTAATAACATTAGTTTTTGCTTTATTAAAAGTTCTGATTGGCAGATCTATGTGTCTGATTAATAAAAATAAGAAAATGAAATCACTGGAAGAGTGAAAGGGCTGGGGATTTAGCTCAGTGGTTCCAAAGCCTGCTTCACAAGCGTGAGGTCCCAAGTTTGATCCCTGGTACCAAAAAAAAAAAAAAAAAAAAAAAAGCATGAAGATTACTTGAATAGTTTGCCAAAATGATACTGAAGGGTGGTAATTCTAGAAATAAGTTACCTTTGATAGTGAAATGACTGGAAACCATTTAATGCTTACTGATGCTGAACCATCATAGTCTCCCCTGGGAAGTCCTATAAGTATGTGTCATTTTCTTGGAAAAAATATGGTAGTACAAACCTATAATTCCAGCTATCTGGAGGCTGAGACAGGAAGCTCACAAGTTTGAGGCCATCCTAGTGGTAGCATATGTGAGGCCCCAGGTTTGACCTCCAGTACTGCCCCCACAAAAAAGTACACATTTTTAAAGTATAATTTCAGAGAATTCAGGACTCCTTGAAATCTGTATTTTTTTGTGTGGGTGGAAAATTATAAAGGCTGATTTCTCCCACCCAACTCCATTATATACTACAATTAAACATATTCTATACTTTTGCAACAGTTTGTGAAAAGAAAAAAAAAAGTTTGCTTTATGCTTATGAAGGGCAATATTTCATAGTAGTTGAGAGTACTGGTTGTATAACCAGTCTGTCTAGATTCAATCTAGTTTCTTCTCAGTTACTTGTCTGAGATTGGGAAGTTGCCTGAATCCATTTTATAACTCTAGAATGGTGATTATAATCCCTTAGTGGATTATTACAAAGATAAAATTGTTACCACATGTAAAGTGTTTAGAACAGAAAGTAGTACTTCCTGGTTGTCAGCTATTGTTACTAAATTATATAATCTGTGTACTTGTGAATAACTGGCCAACATTTTGCCTGGAGGAAGGGTATGTTTTCTAATTTGTGCCAGTGTCCCTCACCCAGATTCACTGTTTTGTAGAGTATGTCAAGATAAACTTTTACATACCAGCCTTAGGTAGGTCTCTTTTACCTATTTCTCTGAAGAAATGAAGCTGAGAAAAACAAAGCTCCATATCCTCCTTTAGAATCCCTCTTTATTCCAGTATATGAACCCACTTTGCCTCTGAGCAGAGTATTTGCTGCTATCTTGTCCATGATGTGATTTGATTTGATTTTGCTTATTATTCTTTGTCAGTTTATTCTTTATTGAAATTATAAAATACTTAATAAAGATGGTACAGGCTAGTAGGACTAATACAGTGAACATTCCTCCATCATGTTAAAAGAAAAATTTTATGTTTATCTTTGAAATTCTTTGAATGCCTTCCCAGATCTGGTCCCCTTCTTTCTTCCATCAAAGGTAATAATTATCCTGGGTTGTCGCTTATCTTTCTACCTTTACTGTATATGTATCATTAAACAACATACCAGTTTTTTATGCTTTTGAAACATGTAAATGGAAAGTTTATGTAAGACGTTTTCTACTTTTTTTTAAGCTCAGCATTCTTGAGTTTCATCTATACAAGTATGATATTCCATTGCGGCACTAACTTAATTTATTCGTCCATTTTCCTCTTCATGGGCATTTTGGCTGTTTTGCATTTATACAGTACTATTGAATAGATTTTATTCATTTAAAAAAATATATTTGTGGAAGTTTCTCTAGGGCATATGACAAAAAGGGGGACTGCTAAGATACAGGAAATGCGTATCTTCAGCTTTATCTTACAGTGGCAAATCTAAAAGTGATTGTACTCATTTACACTCCTATCTCTTTGGTTTTTTGAGACAGGGTCTCACTAGTTGAGACTGACCTGGAACTCACTATGTATCCCAGGTTGGTCTCAAACTCACAGCGATCCTCCTGCCTCAGCCTCCCGAGTGCTGGAATTACAGGTGTGTGCCACCATGCCTGGCTACACTCCTATCATTATAGAGTATACAGATTGAAATTACTCTTTATTGCATTTATTTGAGATATTTCCATAAAGAAGGATGGATTCAATTCATTTGTAGGAAAGTAGATGGATTTTGAGGCCAGAAGGTTAAATATCACATGGTTTCTCTTATGAGAGAAAGCCAAACTCTAAATAAAGGGTTAAAAATAAAGGAGAATGGTAGGAAACAGAAAGCAGACATTTTGGAATTGGGAAGTAGATCAGGGGAATTGAGGGGTGGAAAGGGTGATTATTGAAACTGATCAGGATATGATACATATGTATAAAGTCCTCGAAATGAATATTATAATTATGTATCACAAACATACACTGTACTACTAATAAAATATCTACTGGGTACTTAGCAAGGCAAAAAGCCCTGTTCTTAGTAGTTTATATTTTAGTGATAGAAAGCAGCTAAAACACACTCTAGCAAAATGATACAAATTTTGGGGAGAAACAAAGCAGGAAGTGTTATTTCACTGCCCTTAGAGCCATGTGACAGTTTGGGCCTGGGCTTCATGTGGTTATTGACATAAACAGAGATACAAACATGAGATTATTTCTGGTGTTTTCAAGCAAAAAATGGTAGTGAAGTTGTGAATGTTGGTGGGGTTGCAAGATTAGGAGTCTTTCTAGGAGCATTTCTGGGTTTTTTTCTTCACTTCTACTTAATCCATTAGTGGTAAAGCTGAAGAATGAGTTGAGGGGATTGGTAATAGGTGCACATGGAGATTTGACCCTTTTGATACTTGCCCATATTGGTTTGAGGGAATAGGGGAAAGGTGGCTTGCCTGGAACATGGAATGGTGAAATTGTCTTGTTTCAGTAATACTTGGACCTGCGTTGCTTGCTTGCTTTCCTCTTACGGTTGGAGGAACGAAGGTGGATTGAGCCCTTAGAACTTGAGGGCTCTCTTTTGACCCTTGCGAGTAGCAATACTAAGTTCTGAGGGGACTGGTGGTTTTGCCTAGCGTATCAAATTTAACCAGTTAACAGTTTACCCCTAGTGTCACTTGGGCAGTGCCTTTGTTTGTGTACTATCCTGAGCATTGCTCGGGCAGGTGTCATTTCAACCAATCCTTGTATTGAATAAATTTGATAAAATTGTTTTTATATTTCCTAGTATCATATAACAGTTAATGGAAAAATATGCAATTTTTGGTCATTCTGTATTTAAATACTTGCATTAGTAAGTGGTTAATTTTGCCAGCCTGGTGGATGGGAAAATGGTATTTTGCTATGATTTTAATTGCGTTTCCCTGATTTACTCTAAAAACCCAAAATTATCTTTCAAATGGCAGGCTTAATGATGTAATGTAACTTCTATCATTTACATCTAATAAGCTCCACAATTGGAGGGGGATTTGTTCACTGTCCAAGTATGCTATAACTAGGCCCAATATTTGATCCAGCAACTGAAATGTGATGCTGCTAAAACTCTCGTCAACAGAGATGTAGGGAAACCTATTCCCTGCCTTGTCACTACCAAGTAAGTCCTCAAGTTAGCAACCATACCTTTTGTTCGCCCTAAGGAGCTGAATTGGTGGCCCTCGCCCATATATTGTTACCTAACCTCAAAAAATACATCTGTATACCTATACTGACTATCTTTGACCTTCTTTGTGGCTCCCATCAAAATATGGGCCCCATTTCCTACCGGTACCAGTCTTTTCAGTTGCATTTGCAACTTGGCATTTTAAAATAATCACAACTATTCTTGAGAGTCTGTAAAGAAAATGGTTTGGCTGAGTACAACTAAGGCTGTCTCCTGCTTTTTGGGCCAGTTCTTTGTATACTGCAACCACCTAATCCCTCCCTGTGATCTTTATTTGCACATGATTGAGCCTCAATTTACAGAAAGAACACTGGAAAAAGCCAGTATACATATTTTTATTGGATCATCTGTAATGGACCCTAGGTAGCCATCTAGTTGTTCCTATATGCTATTATGCCACTTGTTTACTTGTCACATTCAGTGTTATGAGGAAGTACAAAGATGATGATAGCATCTGCAAATTCCAGCTGATTGCATTTTCCAAGATAACTCAGGTCTGTTGTTCAGGGCAGTGCCTTACTTACCTTCTCGTATTACAGTGTGAATCCACCTATGAGATATATATGGGCAATGAAATCTCTTCCATTGGTTTCTTTTGTTCAGCTTTCAAAGGTGTTTCATCAACTTCCTACTAAGAGTGTTATCTAATACGGGAATACTTTGGTTTGCAGACTCAGTTCTTTCCACAATTCTGGTCAAAAACTAAACTGTATGAGAACAGAATCAAATTTCCCCATAAGGTCAACATTGAGCCTAACTACTGAATTTGATTCAGTTTTCATCAAACTCAGTTTGCAACCATAATCGTGGAAAGAATCAAATTTGTGAACCTTAGATACTACTGTAATTTTATAAGCTTTTTCCTGGCTGAATTGAAGTCTGTCATAGACAGGTTATCATTGTTAATGTTATCACATACATTATGGGAATAACTGTATATGGCACCCATTTTTCAGAAGAGATACACTAGTGGTATCAGGGTTTACCAGATTAAGCATGATTATGCAGACTTTATTATACTCAATGTGCTAAAGGAGTATAAAAAAGAAATACGGTCCTAAGGAAAAATTAAATCCTAGTGTAAATCCTAAATGATGCAGAACCCCTCCTACTGCCCATATGAGCATAAGAGTTCCCAATGGATAAAGTAGTTTGAACTCATTAAATTGCCATGGAAAAACACATGAGATAATTCTCATCTACCATAACTGACCCAAATAATTTCCAAATGCATGTTTCTAATATTGTGAGCAACTGCAAAGCCCATATGAGTCGTCTGAAGTTTTATCATTTACAGGTATGTGACGCATTCCCAGATCCTTCAGCCAACTCAACATCAGCTACTTCTTTGTGATTGGGTCCAGATTAAGGTTCTCCCAAGACAGACTTCATTGGATCCACGTTCAAGAAGACTGCCAGGGTTTCCTGAGTCCCCTACATCGCTGTAAAGTGCCAAGGCCTTAAGACTTGGTTACGTGTATTACAACAGCAAGAGTGCCAGCACCAGGAAAAGACTCATTGGACCTCTCAGCTTCTCTGTATCACCAAATGTAATAACCTTATCAACAAAGTAGAGTAAGCAAAGTTCCTTTGTGTGACACCATCATCAGTTGATAAAGCCTAAGAAAAAAATATTACTTATTTAGACTAGAGCTCTGTCTTTTCTTGAGAAGCTGAGATTTGGAGGAGCTATGCTGAAATCTGTGCTGCTAGTAAGTAATTGATAACATTATAGACTGGATTGGTCCCTGAGTTCAAAGACTTGCAATTGAGTGAAAGACAGACATCAAAATCTTGAAGAATTACACTGAGGTGCAAGCCAAAGTTCACCCTCTGCAAATAATGTTTGTTCAACTGAGAAGTTGCTAAACCAAACCTGTAATAGGACTGTTTATTTGGGCGTCTTTCTGTCATTTTTGTCTCTTGGTGTTGCATTGCTCTCTGTATTGTCTTGCTAAGGCCAGATGTTCTCAGACAATTCACATTGTCCTGATTGTGGACAACAGTGGTTTCCTAGTTTAGAACTAGGCCACTGGTTGTACCAAACTGAACTTGTTGAAAATGAATGTTACCAAGTCTTTTTAGACCGTATTAATAGAGCTGATTATTGCCCTGAATGTTATCCTGATAATCCTGCTAATAGAAGTCTTGTTCTTCCTTGGTCTTTTCCACTTGAGTGGGCTCCCCAAAATCTCACCAGGTGGACCTTTGAAAAAGCTTGCCATCCTTTTCTTCTGGGTCCTCCACTGCTTAGAAAAAGGATACATGACTCCAGAGTAGCTGGCTTTAACCCTGCATTGCAGTTAATCTTGACCAGAACAGATAAAACCTTAAACAAAAAACTTGGCCAAAACAAATAACTTCTATAATGGTCAAAATCATGGAGATTCTAGGGAGTTTTGTGCTAGAAGCCTAAGGAAGATGGAGAAATAATTTAATTTCTCTTTTTTTTCTTCTCTTTTCTTGTTTGTGGTGCTAGGGATCAAACCTGGGGACCCATGCTTGCTACCACCGAGCTATGTCCCCAGCCTTTGTTTCTAAATCTGATCCAGATGGTCACTGTTTCTGGGAACATCTTAAATTGTTGAGTCTGCTTCTGTGGCTACACTAACTTTGTTTAGCATGAATTTAGTCAGTATTCTGGAGAGACTGTTCATCTAGAACCAGACTAATCCATAATCCCTATAAGTAAGTGATGTTTTAGAAGTAATTTTAGAACTAGCTAATCTCCTCAGAAGTTCCAGGGCTTAATTACTGACATATAACAAGATAGTCCTAAAGGGAAGGCCTCATACTGTGTACCCCATAATTGTATTTCTAATAATAACTTCATTTTTGTTTGTTTGGCTTGTTTGTTTTTTTGTTTTTTGAGACAGCAGGGTCTCATTATGTAGTTGAGACTGACCTGGAACTCATTGTGCAGCCCAGGCTGGTCAATCCTCCTGCCTCAGCCTCCCAAGTGATGGGATTACAGGTGTGTGCCACTATGCCCAGCTTTTAACAGTAACTTCTGTGGGAAAGAATACTCATTGTAGTTGGTTTCTAAATTATTCCAATAAATTTTAATAAGAAACTATGTTGTTTTAAATTCCCCCTTTCATTGATAAAGATAAGTGTGTATATATAAAATTTATTCATATATATGTTTATCCCTCGTTGGTTTTGTTTGGCTTATCCTTGGAGTGGTTGTCAAAATATTAACTGGTCACTATCAGAGAAGTCAAATCTATAAGGCAACCCTTAACATAGGTTACACAAAAAGATGTAAAAAGGCTGCCTGTTTATACTTACATTGTTCTATATAACCAAAGACTATCCTGCCTTTGTAGTGATTGAACTTAAAATGTCTTGTCCTAGAAATGAGAAAGTACCTATATAATGAGATTTATGAAGAAAAAGAATTATCAAGATTCCATATATATATTCTGGACAGTATTGTGGAAGTATCTTTCTTAAAACTAAGAAAGTCTTGGTAGACAATGGCCACATTCTGGCCTCTGCTTATTCATGAAATTCCTTAAACCAGTTTTGGAGTTAGGCAATTTTGAAAAGTCTGTTTAAAATCTCTTAGAAGCCACTGAACAATTTTAAAATTCCACTTCAGATGCTAGATAATCTAATGTTTGTGTGTGGCAACTCAAAGATGTTATCAAAGACCCATGTTCTTTCTGTCCTTCCCTCTTGGGATCCTTAGGTCTGCTCTTTGTCTTCACGGCTGTTTCCTCAGTGAGTGCTATATGGTTTGTTGCACCAGACATTTCAGCACCAATAAAAGGCTGAGAGTAGGGAGCAGAGGACTTTCTCCTTTCAATTCTCACCTTTATTTGGGAATAAAACTTTTCCCAAAAGTCCCTAGAAGAATTTTCACATCTCATTAGATGGTCCTGGTGCATGAGTATGGGAAAACCTGGCAAAGGGTAATGGAGTTGGCATTCCCCAGGTGAGGCACATTACCTCTTCTGGTAAAATCAGAATTCTTTCTGGAAGAAAGCAGTGGAGAATGAATGTTACTGATATTGCAACAAATCATACTTGCCACATGTTGTAAAACCTAAAGTTATCTGTTATTCTGTATAAAGACTGTACCCCAGAAATTCAGCACTGTTATCTGCCTTATGTCTGTCATGATGGTGGTTCTCTCCTGTTGATTGCTGAATAAACTGTGGACTGCTAAACTGATTGAAGACTAGTTTACCAGTAATTTGTAATTAAGAACTCATTCTCAAGCTCTTAGAGAAAGTTTATTTTGAGATAGTGTTTTTGAGGATGTTATTAGGATCCATGTTACTTCATCCTAAATTTTTTTTCAGTTATTAAAGAATGCTTATGTTCCAAGGACACAGTTAAACTTTCTACATATGTGAAATTTAAAATATTAGCATAATATAGAAAAAGTCTTTATTTTTGTTTTGTTTTTTGGATTTTTTTTTTTTTGTTCCGGGAATCAAACTTAGGACCTTGCATTTGCTGGGCAGGTGCTCTGCCGCTGAGCTACATCCCTGGCCTCTATTTGTGTTCTAACCAATTATATTAAATAATAAGGCCAAAATGTAAAGGTTTATTTATATCGTTGGCTTCTCAAATGAACACTTGGCAGTCCCTGGGAGAATGTGTTTTAAAATGCAAGTATTTATTCTAGAAATTTTGACTACTTAGGTTGCTTATAAAGGCTAGGAATCTGCATATTATGAAGTCCAGGAACAGCACCTCAGGTGATTGTTGTGCAGGTGTTCTGTGGACTGTGTTTTGAGAAACACTGCAACAGCACACCCATAGTATTTACTTATCTGGGTTAGAGGGAAGGGAGCTGAGTGAGTACTTAGAATACTGCAGGGTAGCAACACAGTAGTTGGATTTGTGCATTATGGCTACTCAGCCAGTGAAATCTATACAGATATTCCAAAATCTGAAAACCTCTAAAATCTGAAACATTTAAGGTCACAGGCATTTTGAATAAATGATATTCAGCTATGTTTATTACACTTCTTTGCCAATGACATATAAAGAGGTTTCTTTTATATAAAGATCCTCCTTGGTATTTTAGGTCTTAAGCTTAGCCACATTTTTCTTTTTAGTTAATCAGGACTGTGCCAGCCCTTATGACAAACAGTTCTGTTTGGTGATATTATTCAGGCCAGTAAAAGGAAGAAAAAAAATTAGTAGTGAAAAGGTTACTTTGCTTTCAAATATTGTATTATCATATACATGTTATGTGGTTATATGGTTCTCAGAAATCAGTGTAGTAGAGCTCAAAATAGAGTAAAGAAAAAAATTTAAGAAGCCTTTGTAATTTTCAGTGTATGTCTTTATAGTATGGCTTCACATGACTTTAAATATTGCAGATTACTCTAAAATAGTGCATATGGTGATTGATATGAATAATGAATTTTACTAGAATATAAATGGGCTGCTAAAATTCTAACATCTGAGAAATCTTATAATTTATATTGTGCTAGCCATATTCTCTACTTCATAGTGTAGAAGAATAGGCAGTATTACCCATAATGGTAGCATTTCTACGATGACCATTATAACTATTCCCTGTTATTTTATGGCAGATTTGGGAGTGGAAATGTGTTGGAGCAGACAGGAAAGAAAAGATATTAGCTTATTTTATTTTATTTTATTTTATTTATTTATTTATTTATTTTTGGTACTGGGGATTGAACTCGGGTCCTTGCGCTTGCAAGGCAGGCCACCGAACCACTGAGCTAAATCCCCAGCCCTATATTAGCTAATTTTAAAAAATAATTTTATCGGTACACTTTAAATATACATAACGATCATATTCATCAAAGGGAATTTGAAAAGAAAATATATTTACCAAAAAGGTGGCTTCATGAGATGTGGGTGACTGAGATAAGATTCTGTGTCTTTTTAACTGGTTGTGACAAAATGTGTAAGGCTGCTGTGGTTGAAATATACCATTGTAATGTAAGTTCATTGCATGTCATCTCAAAGTTATAGGCCCTTCTTTTTGCTTGTTTTCCTACAGAAGTGAATATATTTTGTTACTAATTTTTTAAAAAATCACATCAAACAAAAGTGCAGAGAAAAACAAAACACTTGTGTACTCAGATCTGAAATACATTAATTTTTTTTGTTTTTTGTTTTTGGTACTGCGGATCCAACTTGGGACCTTGCTTGTGAGGTAGGCGGTGGAAACACTGAGTTAAATCCCCGGCCCCATTAATGGTATTTTAAAATAAATGTTGCATATGTAGTTGAAACCCACTCTTGTTCCTTGCAGGAACAAGCAGTAAATTGAAGTAATTGTGTATATATACACAATTTCCATAAAATTCCATAAACTTGTGTATTTATATATGTAAGTAATATACGAAATGACAAAGATTGACTATATGTTAGTTTCAGATTTATAAAATTTTTATTTACACAGTAGTACTTAATTTTTATGTTGGAGTTTTCTAAACTTGGTGTTGTGATTGTAGTGCAAAGTCAGTGCTGTGCCAGAAAATGACACCTTTCAGGTTGCCAAAGCACCTACCCACGATAAAATGAGATTAACCGCAAAGTTGCATGTTTCTTAAAAGACAGTACAGGGTAGCCATAGCACTGTAGCACTGAGGTAAATTGGTGTCCCTCCTGAGAGAAGTTTAGGAAATCAGAACTAAGTAAGACATCTCTTACCCTATCATTTTGTAAATGAAGAATAAATCTTATTCCAAGCCCCAATGAAGCAAAGTGATCAAGTTTTGCTGCAGATTTCAGGGTCACAGGGAAGTGGAGATGACTTTCCTAGGAGAAAATAAATTGTTTTTAAAATAGAAAAACAAATTGTTATCATCTCTACCCATTGGATGCCAAAAACTAAAATTTCACAGTTGAATTTTGAGGAATTCAGTAAAACTAAATGGCTTTGTGCCAATGACACACATAGGTCTTTATCAGCAACAAAGATGATAGCAAAGGTAGCATTTTGGAAAAACTGTGGGCCCAATAAACAATTTCCTGATATGGAATGGACACTGTTGAAGAGATTGACCTTTCTCAAACTGATCTGCAAGGGCCGGGGATTTAGCTCAGTGATTCTACCACCTGCCTCTCAAGGGGAGGGACCTGAGTTCGATTCCTGGTACCAAAAAAAAAAAAAAAATCAAACTGATCTATGGCTCTTCCAGATACCTGATGACATGACATTTTGTGAGGATGTTTTAGGAACTATTCTGTTTGTCCTGTTTCTTGTAGCAATGAAGGGGATACCATTTCAGCTATGGACAGTGACTGTGTTACAGAGTCTCAGTGAAGCTAGAGAATTGAGGTATGCTTGTGACAGGAAAGGTGTATGTTAAACTTTTGTAGAAATTGAGAAATATGTTTCTTCTGCCGATTCTCTTTTACTGTAATGTAGTTACCAAATAATACATTTTGAAAGCATTTTGTTTGCAGTAAAGTTTGAGAATACATACAGTTTGATGGTAAACGGAATACTGTCATTACCCCAGAAGGTTTCCTCATGTTTTCCAGCCCACGTTCCTCCCATAACCACTTAAATCTGTTCTCTATCACTATAGATCACAACTTTGCTATGCTGACCGTCCTACTTATATTTTTGCAGTGTGGCTTATTTTACTCATAGTTTTTAGATTCCTCCATGCTGTAGCATGTAATGGTAGTTGATCATTTTTAGCTTCTTGTTCACTTCTTTTTGAATCACTGTTTAGTGTTTATGTTTTTAAGTTGTGTAGTAATCCAAGTCATTCATTTTAATTGCTGTATATAATGTTACATTACAAATATGCCATAATTTTTTAACCCTCTTCCCTACTAATGAATAGTTAGGATTTCTAGTTTTTCCTCATTTTAAACAATACTACAGTAGACATGCTTGAGTATGAGTCCGTCTAGTCCATTTGTTTTTGGTACCAGTGTTCAAACTCAGGACCTGAAGCCTGCAAGGCAGGCAGCACCAAGTCCTGCCCCTTAGCACTCTTTCTAAAAGTAGAGTTGCTGGTGTGTATAATACAGTGTGTGTGTGTGTGTGTGTGTGTGTGTGTCTTGGCTTTACTTGCTGTCTTGCTCTCCCAATTTGTAGGAACAGTTTCCCTCACTGTTGGTAGGGTTGAAGAGCTCTCTATCTCAGTATCCTCACCAATACTTAGTAACTTTTTACTAATCCACTGGTTATGAAAATGGTATCTTACTAATTTTTTTGCACTTTCTTGAGTATTCTTTTTATGTATCCATTAGACTTTTGGTTTTCTCTTTATTGATCTGCTTATTCATCTTTTGCCCATATTTTCATTTCATTCCCACTTGTCTACAAATTTGTGGGCGTCTATATATTCTGGATATAAATTCCTTTTTGATTATGCGTAACACAGATATTTTCCTAGTCAGTAACTTACCTTTTAACTTTGATATCTTGTATAGAAATGAAAATTTTATGTGATCACATTTGTCAAGTTTTAAGATTTGTATATTTTATGCAAAAAACCTTTGAGATTATAAAGATTTTATATTTTCTTTTGGAAGTTTTATTTTATATTTAGGTCTTTAATTTGGAATTGATTTTTGTGTGTGTGTGTGAGGTGGGAAATAGAATCCGTTTTCCCCCTCATTTGAGTAGTCACTTTCCTTAACTATTCATTAATCCATTTAGCCAGTTTCCTTTACATGTGTATGCATGGGTTTGGCTATTCTTTATGTCTATCCTTACAGCAGTGTCTTATTAATTTACAGTAAGCATTAGTATATGGGAAAGATAGTTCTCTTCTTCAGATTTTTCTTAACTCTTCTTGATCCTCTGCTCTGTGGCTTGCTCATTGTGACTTTTGGGATCAGTTTGTCTATCACATTAGAAACCAACCAAAAAAAAAAAATTGAGATTTCATTTTAAATTGCATTGAATTTATAGATTGATTTGGAGTAAATCAGCACTCATGGTTTGATTCTATCTATACGCAGTTTTTCTATTTATTTAGATCCCTTTTATAGCCTTCAGTAAATTTTTTACTTTAGTCCAAAGTACTTAAAAATAAATCAGTTTTATCAAGGTATAATTTACATACTATAAGTTTACTTTTCTCCAGAGTTCTTGCATATCTGTTCTTAGATTTATTACTAGGTACATTTTAGAGTCTATTAACTAGTTATATCGTAGTTAACTGTGAATAGCATCTTTCTAAATTTTTTTTCACTGGTACATAGAAACTTTTTACTGCTTGTTTTCTTGGTTTTGGCTGACAAAAAAAAAAAAAATTTTTTTTAAAGAAGCCTGTAAAGGACTGAAAAGGTTTTAGTTTCTCTCATGAACTAGCACAAGAGAAACTTCCTGTAGAATGTGATAGTAATGATAAGAAAAGCTGAAAGTCCAGTCCCAGGAGCTTGAAGAAGATAAAAGGGATGGCAGAGAACCTTCTAAATCTGCAGCGTATTCCTAAGTGTTCACAGCAATAGGAAAAGGGCTGTCCCTGGCTCGTTTCCTTTCCATTTTATGTACTGAATCACTTTTTATTCATACCTTCATTTTTCATGTGCATTTAAAATAAAACATTGAGTTCTTACTATACATGTGGTATGGCATTTGGAATTTAACCTTTTAATTTATAAAAATTACACTGTATGGAAGTATTGTGAGACGAACACAAAGGATAATTGGTTAACCTCTCAAGCTGTCAAAAAATGTAAAACTTTACAAAGGTCTCTCATACATATTTTTTTATTTAATCCTTATAGCAGTCCTTCTCATTTTTATAGGTAATGAAGGTTAAGTAAAGTACTAATTTTAGTTTTTTCTGTTACTGGGGATTGGACCCAGGGCCTTGAACGTGCTGTAAGCACTCTACCACTCAGCTATATCTCCTATACCTGCCTGCCTGGCCTTTAACTTTGCAGTCTTGCTGGTCACCAGAGTAGCTGGAGACTACTCACCGAGCTCAACTTGCTTTAGACAGTAAGATTTATCTATAAAATTGATTTAAGTTGTTACTGCTTTTTCTCTAGTTTTGATTCTTTTGTATTCTTTGAGCATCGCATAAAGGGTTTCCTGTTTCCATAGTTTACAAAAGAGTGCTGGGAAAGCCACTAAGAAGTCAGTGACATAATTCCAAACCTGTACTTCCTAGTCCCTCAAGGCAGTTATCATAGTTTGTAGGTAGCACCTGTGCACTGTTACTTATTAATAAGTGAAAACTTCTGATTGACATCCTGTGAAAAAGTAACATGAGACAAATTGAAAGCATACAGGAAATCTGCAGAGATTGCCTCAGCAGAGATTTAAATTTCTTCTTTATAATTATTTTTTAAATTTTAATTTCAGAGCTATTTTCTGGTCACTTGGTCTTACTTTTTAAACTTTTTCACCTACTAAGATGTTTGGTGATTGTGACATCTATGCAAGATAAATAGTCTGAAACTTTTTTCATTTTGTGATACAGGATTTAGAATAAAATCCTGGTGAAAGCTAGAAAGCAGTTTTCTGTACTAAAAGGGTTCAGGGAGGAAATACTACTCCAGACTACAGAGGTCTTATTATTAGTAATGTTGAAATTGGCATTTTGTCTTTGTGTGAATAAAAAGTCATTTAATTTTTTCCATTTTATTTTAGTCACGGTATAGAACCCTTGTTTCCTGGTTTCTAGGAAGCATGAGTCTGTTGAGATGTGGGACAAGAAGGAAACAAGATATCTTCACAAATAAACCCAGGCACTAAAAAGAAGTAGTCCAAACTCTTAACTCGATAGAACACAACCATGATGGACAGTGGACTTCCGGATCCTCCAGAGGGTAAGACTAGTTTGAATAGCACCAGGGTTTGTGCTGTGGGAAACTAGGGCTGTGCTAAGAGAGAATATCTGATGACTAAAACCGAAAATTTTGAAGTAAAGAAACTAATTCAGTGGATTAATTTGTATGATTATTATTATTATTTTTTCCTGTTCACTGGATTTTACCACAATACTAGACCCAAATTATAAGGAAGATAAATGTTTTAGAGGCTCCAATAGTAGGTACCTATAGTATTGACAAATCCCTTAAAAAGGTGGTGGGTCTTTAAAGTTATGTTTATAAAATCCAAAAAACTAGTGTTATATATGTTTAGAGGAGATATTTAAATTGTAGTTAAGGTTGAGACTAAGGCTTTCATCCTGCTTATAAGATATATAAAATAAGCAAAATAAATAGATTTCTCAGAAGAGAGAGGACATATTTATGTTAATCTTTTACTAAGGAAGTTTTTAAATATATAAAAGTAGAACAATATAGTGAGCCTCCCGCCTACCCAGCAAAAACTTCAGTCTTTGCAGCATAATGCTGATCTTGTCACCTGCCCTGGATTATTTTAATGTAAATCTAAGATAGCATTTTAATTGGTAAATATTTTATCTCTTAAAGATAGTTTTGTTACAGAAGGAATCAGTAAGTGACACACAGAGAGGCAGCAGAATGGAAGTAAAATAATTCATTGATAAGGGTTAATCGCACCTAAGCCATGCCTGGATTGACGACACACTGGGTTACAACAACTCCTTTCATAGGGTTTCACAGTCTTGACTTCATTTGGGCGGTTACATTTCATTCTCACAGTGGTCACAGAATAGTTAATCTTTTCAACCCAGACATAACAGTTCTTTGCAGTTGGGGAGTTTACCTCTAAGATCTGCCTAGTTATCTATTCTAGTCCATAGGAAGTGGGGTGTTCAGGGTCGGGGGAGCAAATGCTAGCAATGGGTTCTTTCATTTAGACACTTTTATGATCAGGTGGCTCCAGTCTCATCGGAGCTCAAGACCTTGATGTGCCCTGTTATCTCAGGGTAAGACCAAATGCCTCATTCAGCAATTAGTGCCTTCGGTGCCTATTGGTTTTGAGCTAAACAAACTGCTGTTAGAGACACAGAAGCCACTTTACATTGTAACACTTTATAGATTTTTGCTATTTATAAAAGTTTTCCCTATCAGTTTCTTCTTTAAAAAATGCCAAAAATAAATTAGTTATTATTCCTTAATAATATCAAATATTCTGTCAGTATTCACATTTTCTGAATTTCCAAATTGTCTCATGTTTTTTTTTTTTTCTTAACAGTTAGATCTTCCTACTTTATAGTTGGGCTACACGTTACCTTTTATTCATATATTTCCTAGTTTGCCCTTTTGAAAAAAGCTTTATTATAGAATATTTCAAACATATAAAAGTAGTGAATCTTCACATAAGCATTAAACAGTTTCATTTGTTATCAGCATGTCTGATGTTTGATCTACACTCCCTCACTTCACCCTTCCCTCATGATTCAGCTGAAGCAAATTCTAGATATCCTGTAATTTTCTTGCATATATATCTCTGGAAAATAAGGATTCTTTTCATAAAACCACAACACCATTATCATACCTAAAAGATGAGTAATATTTTTCAAGATCGTAAGATATTGGGCAGTAAGATTTTCCTGATTGTCTCCTAAGTGGTTTCTTTTTTTTCCCTCCTAAGTGGTTTGTTTCTTCAATGATTGGCTTATTCAGAACTGAATCTAAACATTGTGTCTATTTCTTACTGCTTACATTCTTCAATACTGTTAGCTCTAGAAGCTTAATCAGATTCAAGTTTAATTGTTCAGCAAAAATACTTCATAGTTGGGATAGGGGTCTTCCTATTGCACTGTAGTAGGGGAGTAATGATACCTGGTTTTCCCTTTTTGTCATGTTAAGACAGATGAGCGGGTATGGCATTTGTCAGTCTGATTCATCCATGATAGAATTTTCCATCAACCTTTGGCGTGATGTTTGTGTTGCCATTGATAATCATTACCTTTCATTAGGGAGGAGGATGTTTTTAATGTTACCAAAAATTGGTCCTGTCATTCACAATTGCTTTACATTACTTTTAGTTGTTAGATATATGATAATTTTTTTTAAATCACCTTTGGTGGGATGCAAGCAAAATAATGTTTAGGAAGAGTGCCTTAGAAGCCACTATATAAATATCAAGGACTTGTTAAATACAAAAAAAAAAAATGTGTAAAATCTTTTGAATTAAAGTTATAAATTTTTATCTCACTAGAGACTCAAAAGAATTTGGAAAATGATCCATCAGTAAATTCCGAGGAACAGGAAACCACAGTCACAGCAAATTCCTCTGAAGAATCTCAGACACCATCCCCCGCCTCTGATCTTAAAGACCACCAAGAGCTACAGGCAGAAGGTTCAGAAAGTACAGATATAGGTGAGAAATCAGAAAGTTCAAGTGAAACAGATTTTGGGAACTGTTCAAAAGATAAAACAGAGAATGAGAACAACCTGAGTTTTCAGGATGGGAAACAAAAGGATCACCTCCCTTCAGAAAATCTGGGTAAAGAACCCTTGGATCCAGATGCTAATCATTCTCCAAGTGCCAAGGGAGGAAGAGCAAATGCAAACTTCGGAAGCTGCTCTACCTCCCTCCCTGAGGAAGTAAATGACAGAACCGAAGCTTCTCAGGAGCCATCTACTACAGACTCCCAGGAGGCCAGAGCTCCCAGCCATTCCAGAGCAGAGAGTCAGGATTTACTGAGGAAGCGACTGCCTTCACCAGGTAAGAGAAGCCACTGAAATACTGCCCTGTTTTGTTTTGCTTTGTTGCTGAGATGCAAAGAACATAGCTAAGTCCAGACCTTCTTTTCAGAGAATTTTTTTCTTTTTTTGTGGTTCTGGGGATTGAACCCAGGTGTCTTAAGATACTTTCTTTTTGCTGAGACGCAATACCTGACACCTGCAACTCAAAGAAGGAGAGGTTTATTTATTTTGGCTCATAGTTTGACAAGTTTTAGTCCATGGTTGGCAGTCTTAATTGTAGAAATGGCATGATGGAAGGGCTTGATGTAGAAGAAAACTGTTCTTGTCATGGTAGCCAGGAAGCAAGAGAGCAAAAGGAAGAGCTAGGGAAAGGGATAATGCCATTCTAGGTCATGACCCCAGTGACCTGCCTCTAAGCAGGCCTTACCTCCCAGCAGCATACTCAGCCACTGAGCGCATCAGTGGACTAACCTCCTGATGAGTATAGCACCCCCTTGATCCCGTCACTTTCAAACACCTGGGGCTTTTGGGGGACACCCCAGACATAAAATGTAACATTATAGCCTTCACAGTAAGCTAACCCTTTTTTATTTTATGCTTTGAGACGGGGTCTTGCTAAATCACTACCCCCCCACATAGTCCTTTTTAATTTTGAAACAGGGTCTTGTTAAGTCACTAAGATGCCCAGGCTGTGCAGGCTGGAACTTTGATCCTCTCCTCCTTATTCTCCTAGAGTGCTGGGATTACAAGCCTCTACCACCAGGCCTGGCTTTTGTCTTTTAAGAATTAAGAACTTTGGGGCTTGCTCAAGGTCATACAGACCAGTATGATACTGGAATGAAATTTCTCATTTCTTAGACTGGCTCATTCCAGTATATTAAATTGCCTATCATACATAGACTACATTTTAAAGCAGTGTTTATATTAATGTAATATGACAAAAGAAGAGCATGACTTTAAAAATTCATCTGGTTTTTATATCTTATTAGGATACTTGATATTTTAAAAATTTGAAATCTTTCACCTTTTGTGAAACTAAATATTACATAAATCAATAGATAAGTATACTTTTTTAATGAAAGGTAATAGTATATTGACTCAGTCATAGTTCAGTTTTTCAGGACTTTGAGCATATCGGTTAATTTCTGTACCCGATTTTCTATACTCGTATATTAAGGAGAATAAGCATGCCTTCCCTTGTGAAAATAAGAGATACAATGTGCCAAATCCTTAAGTGGAATTAATGAGATGTGGATTCTAGTTTCAGTCCTACTACTTGATAATGTGGGCAGCCTCAGGCAAGTCTCTTAATTTCCTGACACTTCCGCTTCCTGTTTATAAAATGAAGAAGTTGGTTCTTTATAGGTCTAACTTCTGATTATATATGTGAATGTGAGTTTTATACTTTTTAAGATCTCAATCCAAAACGCACATTTGTCAGGAATGTAAAATATGTGACATTTGGTTCATCAAGGGCTTGACCAAAGGCTAATAATTCATGTTTTACTGAAAATCAGTGAATGATTTTAAATATATGTTTCATTCATTACACATTAGAATAGTCTAAAAGCAAGGACTGTATGTATCCCTTTCTTTCATTGTGTATCTCTTGTACCTGGCACACAAAAGCAACTTTATGGGTGTTTGGCAATGAATGAATGAATGTAATGGTGTGGAACATTTTCTGCTATCAGAATTATGCAAAAAAAAAAAAAACTATGCAGGTTTACTGTGAGTAGAAAAAGAGAATACAAAAAAAATACAGTTTATGTGTAAGAAAGAATCTACTATAGTGGAATGAGCTAATCTATAATCTTTCTTTGTGTAAAATTTTGCAAAGTATAGAATTCCTTTTAGTCAATTTGGTGAGAGGAATAAAGGTATATTCATTCTTTTTGCTTTCTTTTTTTTTTTGGATCCAAGGAGCAAACTCAGGACCTTGTGCTTTTGAGATAGGTGAGGGGTCACTGAGCTAAATCTCCGGCCTGGTATATGCATTCTTAATTGGTATACTGTCTAAAATAATACTGTTCCTTTTTTTTTTCCTCCCAGAGGCTGAAAGTCATGAACAAGAAACACGAACACTGGGAGAAAACAAAGAGATTGCACAGGATACTATAAAAAAGGTTAAGAAAAAGAGTTTTTGGAACTATGGTGAGAACAAACCTGAATTTATTGCAGTGTTGATGATGTTCATAAATCCTCAGTGAAAACATTTGATGAGTCCTACTATATATAAATTTTAAGGGTGTTTTTTCCTTAGGGGTGTATGCTAGCTGATAACTTGCTGAGCTTAAGAAATGGAAATTTTCATAGTAGGAAGAGCTTTTCATCTTTCTAATATATATGTGTGTGTGTGTGTGTGTGTGTGTGTGTGTATATATATATATATATTTTTTTTTTTGGTACATTTTAGATACACTTTTCATCTTTCCATAAAAAAGAAACTAAAGGGCCAGGGATTTAGCTCAGTGGTTCTATAGCCTGCCTCTCAGGTTCAAGGACCCAAGTTTAATCTCCTGTACCAAAACAAAACTCTGCCTTTTCACAAGGTTTGTATATATGTTTTGGGTTTTTTGGTGTGCTCAAGATTGAAACCCAATGGGCTGGGGATTTAGCTCAGTGATTCTGCCACCTCCCTCACAAGTGCAGGCTCCTGAGTTTGATCCCTGGTACCCCCCGAAAATGATTGAAACCAAGGTCATGCGTATGCTAGGCAAGTGCTCTATCACAACCCAGCTAAAAACCACCTTTTCAGTCAGCGTGTTCTTATTTCTCAAGGGGCATATCTAAGTTTTGACTACTAAAAGATGTCTGCTATAGATAGTAAGTACTTCAAGAAGATGCAGGAAAATCTTAATAGCTCACTTCTAAAACATCATTAGTAATAACAAAAAATGCATAAACTCAACTTTTACCTTTTAGCAAAGATACTGTACCTTCAAGTAATTGAAGAAGTAATTAGAGAAAAAATATTTAGACTTTAATAGTCAAAGTGTAAGAGATTGAGGCAGAAAGAATTTAGAACTTCTAGTAAAATCTGATAGTAATCTCTGTTTCATTTCATTTTACCATGAGAGTTTTTGATTCATGTTATCTCTGACTTTCTATTATTTTCTCCCTCTTTGACAGGCCCCATGTTTATTGGCTTCCTGGTTGTGGCTTTTGTGTTAAGTTCTGTTAGTAGCTACTATTCATCTCCAGCCCAGCAAGTGCCCCCAAATCCAGCTTTGGAGGCCTTCTTGGTTCAGTTTCGCCAGTTAAAGGATAAATTTCCAGGCCAGAGTTCCTTCCTGTGGCAGCGAGGACGTAAGTTTCTCCAGAAGCACCTCAATGCTTCAAACCCCACCGAGCCAGCCACCATCATATTTACAGCAGCTCAAGAGGGAAGAGAGACCCTGAAGTGCCTGAGCCACCATGTTGCTGATGCCTATACCTCTTCCCAGAAAGTCTCTGCCATTACAATTAATGGGGCTGAGAGAGCCTTGCAGGACAGTGACACAGTCAAGCTGTTTGTTGACTTGGAGCTGAGCTATGGATTTGAGAATGGCCAGAAGGCTGCTGTGGTACACCACTTTGAATCTCTTCCTGCAGGCTCCACTTTGATCTTCTACAAGTATTGTGATCATGAGAATGCTGCCTTTAAAGATGTCGCCCTTGTCCTGACTGTTCTACTGGAAGAAGAAACATTAGAAGCAAATGTAGGCCCAAGAGAAACTGAAGAAAAAGTGAGGGATTTACTCTGGGCCAAGTTTACCAACTCAAACACCCCCAGCTCCTTCAACCACATGGATTCAGACAAATTGAGTGGGCTGTGGAGCCGTATTTCACATCTGGTGCTGCCCGTCCAGCCAGTGAGGAGCATAGAAGAACAAGGGTGCTTTTTATAAAGCTAAGCACAGAGTTGGTTATGGAAGGCCTCAGCTTATGAAAAAGTCAGTTTAAAAGGCCTTTAAAAGGAGGTTGATAAATGTGAGGGAATAGCCTGAGAAACACAAGTGAACTAATTTTAGAAAGGAAGCTTATGTTTTACTATTTGTAAAATCTTTCTAATGTAAGCTTTGAGAAAGCTAAAAATCGACATGACGTGATTTTCTTTGCCTTTTCAAGCAAATCAGATTTAAAATATTGTATATAAAACTAAGGAATTTTTTAAAACCCAAAGATAATAGCAACAGAACCATTGTACAGGAAGATATTCTCAGAGTAACTACAGCGTGAGTTTTGCTTTCTTGAGTAAGACTCTGAAGATCTATTTGGATAGTCTTTGGAGTAAAGTCCATATACTATTATTAAGCAGTGGTAATTTTTAGAAAATGTTTGTATTACACGTTGAATATTTTTTAAACTCACTTTAATTGTTGTAGGATTATGTCTTATACTTAATTTACACTTAAGTGGTATGAAAAAAGAAATAATAATTTAAACCATTAAATCTTTATCTAATACTATGTAAGGCACTGTACTTTAATTCTGTTAGGGAGCTGAGGTAAAGACAGCTATGTTCAAAAAAATATTCTTAAATATTGGAGTGAATGGGGAAATTGATTATTATGGAAATTAGGAAGTCCTAGGTAGCTGCATCTTTCCTTCAGCTTTCTTGAATGACTTTTTTTTTGGGGGGGGTACCAGGGATTGAACTCGGGCCCTTGTGCTTGTGAGGCAGGCGCTGGAACCACTGACCTAAATCGCCGGCCTTTGAATGACTTTTGAATAGTGGTTCTTGAACTACCAGCACGTCTCCTCTCTCTCATTAGTTCTGCTTTTGACTGTTTTATATGTTGGGGTTCTGTGTAAGATTCCATTGGGACAAGGAGTTTGACAATATTGAAGTTTGAAAACGATTAAGTGAGAAAATATCTTAGAGATAGGAAGTAAGTAGAAAAAATTATTCAGAGTATTAAAACATGAATAGGAAGAGAAAATAGAAGTTTATAGAGCAAAAATAGTTGCTGAGCAAAATGTATAAGCTAGCATAACATTTTTCTGATGCTTTTGTTCATGTCCATTAAACACTTCTGTCCATGCTGAATAGAGTTTTTATAATTGTCTAGGATTAAAAAAAACCAGTCTCTTTCTTTCTTTTGTGTACTGAGACTTGAACCCAGAGAGAGCACAGCTACATCATCAGCCTTTTAAAACTTAGACAGTATCTCACTAATTATCCTAGGCAGACCATGAACTTGGTAATTCTCCTTCCTCAGTTTCCTGAGTATCTGGGAGTACAATTGTGTTCTACTGTGTCTGGCAGAAGTTGATAACCAATTTTCATAGTAGCTCTTATATGGGCACTTTGGTATAACTTTACCAAGTGGTTTATTTGCTGCACTGTGATAAACTTTTGTAATGCAGCTCATTTCTTGACAGAAGTACCATTTTGTTAAAAATTAGATGCAGAAGATGTTAATTTAGTGAGAAAAAGCAAAAATGGTAGATATGCAGAAGTTTTAATAGCCCAAATCAGTTGTTAGACCATGTTCTTTGAATGTAAGAAAGATTTAGAACAGTGTGTATGGATAGTAATAGTTGATTATATTTGAGCTCTGAAAGCAGAAATTAGTAAAATCATCCAGACCTATCAGAGTGTGTTCCAATACATGGTCTAGGAATGTTTTTACTAAGTTTTGGCCTCACTACTTTTTTTTTTGGTACCGGGGATTGAACTTGGGACCTTGTGCTTGTTAGGCAGGTGGTGGGACCACTGAGCTAAATCCCTGGCTTCGCTGCTTCTAAGAGAGCATGTGTGTGTCTGTGTGTGTGTGTGTGTGTGTGTGTGTGTGCGCGTGTGTATACACACATGAATATATAGTTGTGATTATAAAAGTGGAAGGATTTTAGAAAACACTAATAAGATTGAGTACCTTTTAATGATACTCAGGAGTATCACAAAGGCATGAGGAAGGATCTATTTGGAAATACTTGCCATAGGAAAAACACAAATTTGTGTTTTGTAGGATTAAATTAAGTATAGAACATAATCATGCAAGGCCTGAAGTATGCTCAGTTGAGAGTAAAGGCATATCTGAAGGAATAGTGTGTATTTGGGACTTTGAGGGAAACTTTCTGTAGATTTGAAGAGAGACCTAAACACAAAGTTAAAGTACAATGAATGTAATATCAGTGTCAATCCATTATAAAATCAGGAAATTGAAGACAAATCTGTATACCATATTCAAAAATTTTTCTGTATTTTTAGATCTTAGATGTTAGCATTATATCACACAAAACCATTGGTGCCTTGTAGAACTGTTACGTTGGCCTGCTGACCTGTGCTACCTCAGATCTATAAAGGAACCTGTCTGCAGTATACCTACCTGCCTCTATCTGATTGAGATTGCAGTTGAAACAAAGGTAATTGTTTCTTCGTTTAGTTGATTGTGTTTTTTGATCATTTGCTTAATTTAGGATAATAAATTTCTGAAAGTTGAATTTTTTTGTTTACTGTTTAGCCTTTGTTAAAAACACTTTTCCTTCCATGTATAAGTGCAATCGACTATCAGTTTTCTGTCCACTATTTCAAAAATCATTTTAAAAAGAAGCAGTATATTAGCTCTGGGTCTTCTTATGAATAGATGATTATTTTTAAAGCATAAAATTATTTTTAAAATGTACAAATAATTAAAATTATCTAATTACTCTTTTAGGTTGATTTCTGTTCCTTATTTCTGTTTTTATATTTTAAAGCTCTCAAATGTTTCTGCTTATTTGACCTAGATTTGTGGGCATTTGGTATTAATACATGGTACCTAAACATCACCATTTAATTATTACCACAGAATATCTTTCATTACATTATATCTAAATATAAATCACTTCTTGGGTAATACCTGAGTTGTAGAAGCAAGAAGGGGAATCAGAAACTGTCTTTGGAATTGGGTTTTTATTCCCATAAGTTAAAAATTTAGATTTTTCTTCTTAGTTTCCAGAGATTAGCAGAGAAGTACCAGGGAGCTCATGTCCCTAAAGGTAGTAATGCTATTTGTCTTCATTTCTGGGTTTTTTTTTTCTTTTTTTTGAGACAGGGTCTTGCTATGTGGTTCAGACTGTCCTTGAACTCACTGTATAAACTAGGCTGGTCTCAAACTGAGTGATCCTCCTGTGTGCTTGGATCACAGGTGTGCTCCACCGTGCCTGGCTCCATTTCTGTTTTAAACCAATCAATGAAGTAATTTTAATGGGTTTCATTTGGTTACAGTGGTTAGTGAAGTTCAGTGTGCCCATGACCCACCATCCCCATCAGTTACAGTCCAGTTGAACAGTGGTTAACTGCAGAGTTGGCTTTGATTCTTTACACAGCTTTTTTTTTTTTTTTTTTTATACTTTTCTCTGTGAAAGACAGGAAACAGCGTGCGGTGTAGAAGTGCTCACCTGTAGTTACAGCACTCAGGAGGCTGAGGCAGGAGGATTACTGTTTGTTTGGTACCCGTGATCAAACTTGGGACCTTGCATTTGCGAGGCAGGCAGTGGAACCACTGAGTTAAATTCCTGGCCTAGGAGGATCGCTATGAATTTGAGGCCAGCCTGGTCTACCTAGTGAGTTCAAGGCCATTGTGGAAGACACAGTGAGACCCTGTCTCAAAAAACAAAACAAAAAGACAGTATTGATACAAAATGAGTATTCATAGAGTATAACAAACAAATATGGCATGTAAAAATGAGAATAATCCTGCCAGATGATCTTTACTAGCGCTGTTGTTAGTTTATAAGCTGAGCAAAATTTTTGAACCCTATTAAGTTTTGCTTTTGTGTACTTTAAAAATTAATAGGCTTTGCCAGGATTAATGTCAGGTTTCTTGGCATTTCTCTTCTCCCTACATTTGCATTTGTTCATATAGAAGTTGAATGTGCCTTATTCAAAATAGTTTTCTGGTAATTATAAAAATAAATAAATCTCCTTAATTTTTCTCAGCTGACTGATTCTTGATTAAAGTTTCGAAAATAGTGAGTTTATTGAAATGAGATGTGGCAAAGGACACTCCATTCATTTGGCAAGTAGCTGAGGAGCCAAAGAATCCTGTCATGGTCAGGTGGCATTTGTTTCCATTAGTGGAAGAGGTACAGTGCAGACACTGTGCCTAGAATGCAGTGTAGTTGTCACATAGCATTCTTTGCTCTTCCTACGCAATGATGCTTTCTTGAAATAAGGGAGAAAGAATGACATAATAAGTACAACCCTGGAAGTTGCTCCAACCCAGGGTTGCTCCAAACTGATTGGGAAAGTATTTAAGTGTGGGCATATGCCCGAAGTGGGAGAGTGGGTGTGTGTTAAGAATTTCAGGGCCAGGGATTTAGCTCAGTGGTTCCGCCGCCTGCCTTGCAAGCACAAGGACCTGAGTTCGATCCCCGGTACCCTCCCCCCAAAAAAAGAATTTCAGTCTCAGAACTTTGCCAAGCCAGAATTAGAGAGCTGAAGCATGTGAATACCTAATCTCAACGCTTCGCCACTCTTAGAGCATTTTGCCCCACTGTCTGTACTCAACTAAAACCAAAGGATTTGTTAACATTTTTTTACAGTCATTTCCTGTCAAGTATGAATCGAATCATGAAAGTCCGCAAGATTTATTCTTGTAGTTTAGAAAAACAGTAACTCTCCAGTTATGAGTTTTCATTGAACTGGGCAAAAGTCAAGTGGTAAGATGAGCACAAAGGTAAAGAACAGAATTTCCTAATACTTATTCCAGACATTTAGCAGCAACATGATTTTCTTATGGCATAGTACCACTAGAAGATGTTAACAGTCTAAATGCACCAAAACAGACAAGCTTCAGTACTGTAAAAACAGATTAATAAGGAAAGGAGGGGCTATGAATTGTTTAGTTACTCTAAATAAATTGTGATTTTAAACAGGATTAATAGAAATGATGTCAAATCTAAAGTTACACTTTGGATCATCAAATGTTCAGTGTAGAAGCAGCATCATCAAACTAAACTAAGGAAATATCTTAACTCCTGGACCAAGATCTTAGCTACTTTAAAAAAAGGAAAAATGTAAGCAGAGCAGATACCATGTTCTTAGCAGCATCATCCATCACGGTTATAGTGGAGAAACAACCCAAGTGTCCATGCACAGATTAATGGATAAACAAAATGTGGTACAGAATATGCTACATATAATGGGATATTCAGCCTTAAGAAATTTTGACATATGCTATGACATGGGTGAATATTGAGAAGATTATACTAAGCCAGTCACAAAAAATATATTTGTGTGAAGTACTTAACACAGTCAAAGTCATGGAGAGAGAGAACGTAGAGTGGTGGTTGCTAGAGGCTGGAGGAGGAAAGGATGAGGCAATATTGTTTACAAGGGGTGCAGAGATTCAGTTTTACAAGATGAAGAGTTCGGGAGATAGGTGGTGACAGTGGTTACACAACATGAATGTACTGAATTCCACTGAACTGTATACTTAGCAATAAAATTTTTTTAAATGGTTAAGATGGTAAATTTTGTGTGTATTTATAATAACAAGAAGAATTGAGGGTTAGGGAAATCCCAGACCCTGACTCATGAAAGGGAGAAAAGCATCCTCTTTTTTGTAGTAGATTTAGCTTTTCTAAATTGTGTGCAATGTACTATGCTGGGTGCTGGACTTATGCATTGACAACTCCATCCCAGGAGAAACAGCCTGTTCAGAAGAAGAGACCAGCAGTTCAACCAGAATGTGCAGGGAGGTGAAGATGCTTTTTTTTTTTCTTCCTTTTTCTTTTCTTCTTTTTTTTTTTTCCAGACAGGGTCTGACTGTTGTTTAGGCTGTCCTTGAACTTGTGGTGATCTTCCTGCTTCCAGTCTCCCAAGTGCTGGGATTATAGATGTTTGCCACCAAACCCAGCAAATGGATTGTCTTGCTTATTCAGAAAAGGGAGGGATTACTTTCAGAGATGTCAAGGGACTAAATCACAGAAACAGAGATTTGAAGGAAAGGTAGAATTTGCACAGGTGGAGATAGGTGTGTAGGTTCAGAAAAGCAAAAGAAAAATCCAGGTGAGGTAATGTCGGGGCCAGTGGCCTAAAGAGGGGCCTGGTCAGGAGAGGTTCCCAAAGAAAACATGCCTGGAGCAGACATTACAAAGCAGGAACCCAACTTTATTTGTCAACAAAGCACTTACAGTAGTTTTTATCAGCTTACTAAAACATAGTAAGATGAAACATGCTGGGTGACCTTGCGGGTCATGTGGCTCATGCTAATTGTCTATGCTGATTCAGTTATATAACGAAGCCCCATCATGCACCTGCACTTAAAGGACTGAATTGTGTCCTCAGGTGCCCTCACATCTCATAGTGGTCCCCTACAGGTAATCAGGATAGAGAAAATTCCTAGTGGTTTTTTAACTCTGGGGAGAGATGTGTGCCTGATGTACACATTTCTGTTGAATGTGTAGATCTTTAGATCATTTTACACTTGATCTTAGCCAGAAGGCCGAGAAGCAGTATCTTTAGATCATTTTAAATGGACCAGTTTGGATGGATTTCTGGATGGGGAGAGTATGGGGGTTCCATGAGTGTGGGCGTGGTTTGCTCCTCATCCAACTCCTGTGGTCAGTGTTCCACTTTCTGTGTCAGTCTTGGGACTGTTAAGGCTGTGGCCCAGGGCATGGAGAGAAGTCTGTGGAGTAGGGTTTCAGGGGTGCTAGTGGTGTTTTTGCTTAGGGACCCTGAGTGGCCTGCCTAAGGCCTCTGCCATCCATCCCCTAGCCCAGGACCTCAGTGTGCTAACAGCTGGGAGAGAGCCCAGGTGGAGGAGGGCTGGGGGGCTGGGGCTGAGCTGCCCACCCACCACTGTCTCAGCCGAGCCTTGCACCTGGATCCCAGCTGCATGTTGTCTTCTCTGCACTTCTCTTCCTACTATGTCCACTTCTCTCCAGTCTCTGCACTGTCTACATCCTCACTTTCATTTTAATATATGCTACCTGTCCCATCTGTTCCCGTGGATTGGCTGTGAATCTACATTCCAACCTTTTCTTTGCATTTCATTGAAGTGGGATTTGCTTAGGAGATTTCATCTTGGGAGAATACAAGTGATGATCCCTCATTGTTGTGCTTTAGTTTAAGCCTCATCTTTCTGGTAAGATGGGCAGGATGAACCTACCTTAAAACATTGCTTTTAAAAAATTCTTATTGGTACATTTTAGGTGTACAGTATATGACATTCATCATTAGAAATTTGTACCTTTACATAATCTATCTTGGTTCTTATTTTTTCCCCTTTCCTGTCCTCCCTTCAACCCTCCACCCCTCCCTATACATTCAACCACCTCATCTTCAACAAAGGAGCCAGCTAGAGGAAAGATAGCCTCTTTAATAAATGGTGCAATGGTGCTGGAAAAATTGGGTTTCAACTTGCCACAGACTG